AAAAACACAGACCTATACACCCCACATAGGCATAGAACTAAACTACAATACAAAACACACATACTGGACATACAGGATAGATTAATCATACATCTACACACATGTAGTCACATTTCCCCAGAACTAAAGAAATTTCCATCAGACTTAAAAGTAAATGTGTGGCTGTGTTGGTCTTCTGTACATAAAAGTCATTCACATTACATAGTTAATCTGGCTGAAAAAAAAACAAAAACAAAAAAGAGACAGGTCCATCCAGTTCAACCAACAGAGAAAAAAAAATATATATAATATATATACACTAAAATAAAAAAAAAAAATATATATATATATAAATATATATAAATATATATATATATAAATAAAATAAATTTTATATATACACAGGTGAAACTCAAAAAAAATTGAATATTGTGCAAAAAAGTTCATTTATTTCATTAATGCAACTTAACCGCCTCCCACCCGCCATATAGTAAAATGACGGACACAAAGCGGTTCTCTCGCGCTGGGAAGATGTCATATGACGTCATTCTAACCACGCATGCGTGGCTCCGGGAGTGCACAGCGTGGCGATCGGCAGTGTGCCACGGACACAGCGGATCACCGATCCATGGAAAAAGCCGAAAATGTCAGCTCGGTCATGTGATCAGCTGTGTCCAATCACAGCTGATCACATGTAAACAGGGAAATGTTGGTTATCTGCATTTCTCTCCCCACGAGCTGTCACGCTGACAGCTCGAGAGGAGAGCCAGTAATCGGCATTCCTCAGAGGGGACATCTACAGAGATCATCAGGGCACTGATGATCAGTGTGCCCTGATGATCTGTGTAGCCCCAGCAGTGCCACCTGTCAGTGTCCATCAGTGCCAGCTCTCAGTGTTCATCCATGCCACCTGCCAGTGCCCATTAGTGCCACATTTCAGTGCCCATTTCAGCTGCCTGTCAGTGTCACCCATCAGTGCCCGTCAGTGCCGCCTAACAGTGCCCGTCAGTGCCGCCTAACAGTGCCCGTCAGTGCCGCCTAACAGTGCCCGTCAGTGCCGCCTAACAGTGCCCGTCAGTGCCGCCTAACAGTGCCCGTCAGTGCCGCCTAACAGTGCCCGTCAGTGCCGCCTAACAGTGCCCGTCAGTGATGCCTGTCAATGCCCATCAGTGCCACCTACCAGTGCCTCCTCATCAGTGCCCATCAGTGCAGCCTCATTAGTGCACATCAGTGAAGGAGAAATATCACTTATTTACCAAATTTTATAACAAAAACTAAGAAAAAACTTTTTTTTTCCAAAATTTTCAGTGGTTTTTGGTTTAAGAAACAAAAACACCCAAAGGTGATTAAATACCACCAAAATAAAGCTGTGTCACAAAGTGCAACAGCGCTGAAAGCTGGAAATTGGCCTGGGCAGGAAGGGGGTACAAGTGCCATGTAAGCTAGTGGTTAAAATGTGAAACTAATATAGGAGATAGACTCATTACATGCAAAGCAAGATAGTTCAATTTGTCATAATTGTGATGATTATGGTTTACAGCTCATGAAAACCCCAAATCCACAATCTCAGAAAATTAGAATATTGTGAAAAGGTGCAATATTCTAGGCTCAAAGTGTCCCACTCTAATCAGCTAATTAGGCCATAACCTTTAAATGGTCTCTCAGTCTGGTTCAGTAGGAATCACAATCATGGGAAAGACTGCTGACCTGACAGTTGTGCAGAAAACCATCATTGACACCCTCCATAAGGAGGGAAAGCCTCAAAAGGTAATTGCAAAAGAAGTTGGATGTTCCCAAAGTGCTGTATCAAAGCACATTAATAGAAAAGTTATGTGGAACGGAAAAGTGTGGAAGAAAAAAGTACATAAGCAGCAGGGATGAGTGCAGCCTGGAGAGGATTGTCAGGAAAAGGCCATTCAAAAGTGTTGGGGACTTTCACAAGGAGTGGACTGAGGCTGGAGTCAATGCATCAAGAGCCACCACACACAGACGGATCCTGGACATTGGCTTCAAATGTCATATTCCGCTTGTCAAGCCGCTCCTGAACAACAAACAACATCAGAAGCGTCTTACCTGAGCTAAAGAAAAACAGACCTGGTCTGTTGCTCAGTGGTCCAAAGTCCTCTTTTCTGATGAGAGCAACTTTTGTATCTCATTTGGAAACCAAGGACCCAGAGTATGGAGGAAGAATGGAGAGGCACACACTGCAAGATGCTTGAAGTCCAGTGTGAAGTTTCCACAGTCTGTGTTGATTTGGGGAGCCATGTCATCTGCTGGTGTTGGTCCACTGTGCTTCATTAAGTCCAGGGTCAACGCAGCAGTCTACCAGGAGATTTTGGAGCACTTCATGCTTCCTTCCACAGACGAGCTTTATGGGGATGCTGATTTCATTTTCCAGCAGGATTTGGCACCTGCCCACACTGCCAAAAGTACCAAAACCTGGTTCAATGACTGTGGGATTACTGTGATTTGATTGGCCAGCAAACTCACCTGACCTGAACCCCATAGAGAATCTATGGGGCATTGCCAAGAGAAAGATGAGAGACATGAGACCGAACAATGCAGAAGAGCTGAAGGCTGCTATTGCAGAATCCTGGTCTTCCATAACACCTCAGCAGTGCCACAGGCTGATAGCTTCCATGCCACGCCGCATTGAGGCAGTAATTGCTGCAAAAGGGGCCCAAACCAAGTACTGAGTACATATGCATGCTTATACTTTTCAGGGGTCCGATATTGTTCTATGTACAATCCTTGTTTTATTGATTACATGTAATATTCTAATTTTCTGAGATTGTGGATTGGGGTTTTCATGAGCTGTAAGCCATAATCATCACAATGATGACAAATCACGGCTTGAACTATCTTGCTTTGCATGTAACGAGTCTATCTCATATATTAGTTTCACCTTTTAAGTTGCATTACTGAAATAAATGAACTTTTGCATGATATTCTAATTTTTCGAGTTTCACCTGTACATATAATATAAATAAAATAAGCGTGCTTCTCAGATAACCCAGTAACGTTGTTGCTTAGCCACTCCCTATGAATAAGTTCAAATGTGACGAAACGCGTCAAAGAATGGCTGAGCGAAAACCGGAAGTGACGATCTTTGGAACCGGAAATGACGCACATTGTTTGAGAGCGTGGATCGGCAGCGGTGAGAGCGTTGTACGGTCTTCCCTCTCTTACATTACCTTCACTGCATGTAAAGAGATATATCTTTGGGCTTATCTTGAATTTTGTTCTTGTGAGTTTCTTTGAGCAGAGATTAAAGAGTTTTGAAGGATACTACACTATGTTGGGTCTCCATTTCCTCTCTTTCGCTTAATATGGAGAAACATCTCCAAGAAATTTAGGTCTGGAGTTTTGGAGCCATTCTGGGGAGATTATTGTGGAAAGTCTGGTACTGAGGCTGTTTATTTGAAGTGTTGGAATCATTCTGGAAGGAATCAATGCATATGTGAGTGAATATCCTGATCTGGAGAAATATATGTTTAAACAAAAAGCGCATTTTGCCAACCATGAGACTGGGGAGGCAAATAAAGCTGGTGAGTGCACACCTAAAGGGGGGGGCACAGCACAGTTCTGAAGATTATTTACAGTCACGTGGTGATTTTATTTTGCATTATTCAATTCACATGGTGTATATAATGAGGACTTTTTTGATGGACTTTGGTGTTTGTTCATTTTTTATTATATGATGGTTTATTATATGATCTATATATATAATTTTTATGGTCTATAGAGCGCTGTATATTTTGGGATTTCAAAATATAATATATATATATACACACACATATATATATATATATATATATATATATATATATATATACACATACACACACACACACACACACATACCATACATACCCACAGTTGATCCAGAGGAAGGTATAATAAAACGTGATCCAATTTGCTCCAGTGGGGGAGAAAAAAATATTCCTTCCTGATCTGAGAGGCAATCAAATATTCCCTGGATCTTAAGCAAGCATGCAGCAAATAAAGGACATAGAAAAATCTTCATTTCTAAACATTCTGCCAATCCTTGACACCCAATGAACTGAAGTTACTGAATCAGACAGCCAAACTAGCATTTTCAGACCAGGTCAGGAATGGCAACCTAGTACTGTATTTCTCTGATGACAGGTTACCTTTTAAAAGCAACTGCTGTGAACAAGTGAAACTTTTCAGTAAACTGCTAATGCCTACATTTTGGTAAAGTTAGAGTCCACTTCAAAAGCACCCTATACAGACCCTGTCACTTTGTTCAGTCAGTGCAGTGACAGGTTCTGATTAAAGCCCATCTCCAAACCTTCATAGGGATCACCTGCTGCTCTTTCCTCCATCACAGCAGTTGAAATATACCGCTGTCAAAGCTCAGACAGTGATGACATTAGCACTCTGTCACACCCTCTTTTGAGCTTTTGAGTCTAGCAACAGGCCATTAGGCCTCAGCACTGCATCACTGGACAAAGTCACATACTTTCCTAATCCTGAATGGGTATTTGGTATTGGCTGTGGTACGTTGTAGAGAAAAGGTGCATTGGGAGAGTGCTGTGAATGGTATCAGTGAGTTGGAGGTGGCCTTTAAAACAGGTCCTGACACTGTGTTTGTTGATAGGCAAGGTGGCAGAGTTTACACAGACCTCACTTGTGGACTGGATGAATACAATTCCTGAAGTCTATACTCTGTAACCTCTCCATGCTCAAATCTGACTGGTTTTTGTGGGGAACCTCAGAGACTTTGATACAGCAAGAATTCTGCCGTGAACTAAACAAGGTCAGTAAAAGCAGCTCTCAGTTAAATAACATAAGGGAGATAGGTGCATTAGTATACTGTAGCAATTTGTGACTGAAGAGCCCCAAGCATTTAAATATTTTTCGACTGAAGTGTAACCTTATACTAAAATATAAAAGTGTTGTTTAAATGAAGTATTTTGGATAATTCCATTATTCTAATAGATTAAGTGAACACACCAACAAAGATTAGGTCAGCAGAATGGTTGTTTTGGTGTTACCTCGATGAACATATAGGTGAACTTCTGTCAAGATGTCATGAAGAGCCAGGCCCTTTAAGGTCTTTAATTCCATGATATCTGAAAATGTCAGTTTTAAGGAGCATCACTTTCTTCTAAGCAATGGGTTACATTTACAGACAGCAAATGATAAAAAGACTCTGCCCACCTAAAAACAGAAACCACATCATCCCATCATTATTACAAAAGCTTCAAGTGACCACAGTTGCAGACAAGAACCAAAAAGGTAAAGAAAACCAGCCAGCAAAAAGTGAAAAAATAGAAGGGAATACTCTGCTGTCTTGGAAGATCTAAGGAAATTGGAGTTACTAGGTACCCAACTCCTTACTCATATTCCAGGACAGCATATGACCAGAAGGGAGAAAATCCCTAGTAGGGAGGGAAGCCAGTCTGCAGAACTTTTCTACCAAAGGCTTGGTCCTGGATAGATAAAAAGGTCAATCTGGTCTGCGTTTGTCCAGGTGGCTGCTTACAGATCTGTTCAGGCGAAGCACCCATGACTTAATAGTCAGAATCTTTTCTTATTTCCACTTTTGCAAATTTGAGAAACTTCCATTTCACACAGCATACCTAATGTAATTTAAAAAATAATGTCTTACCTTTCTTTTTTTTTTCCAAATAACTTTTTATTCAAAGTATTTAATAAAAAAAAAAAAAAAAAAAAAAAATATCAGAACCCCCCCCCCCCCCCCCCCCCCCAAAAAAAAAACCTCCAAAAAAACAAAACATGGAGTACAGATACTTTGCTATGCGATTTGCGTCCATACAAAATGAATGGGCGCAAATTGAACTGCAAACAATGGAATATGATTTGAACAGGAATGTGGTGCAATTTCTGTCAGAATCACATGCGGTTTCCCCACCGCTCCTATGTGAACCCAGGCTTGTGATACTGATTTCAGCCTGGGTTCACACCGGAGCGGTCCAGGAAACCGCATGCAATTAGGACAGGAATCACACCGTATTCCTGTTCAAATCACATGCCATTCTTTGCGGTGCAATTTGCGTTCATACAAAACAACTGGGCAAAGTATCTGTTTCGGGTATCAGGAGCATTTTCATGAGTACGAGTATCGGTGCAACACTAGTGTACAGTATCAGACAAATATTCTCTCAGTGTAAATACAAGAAGTGTCAGCATATTTACAAAGGCTCATAGCAAACAAAGCCATGAATATTGAAGAAAAAAAAAAAGAAATAAAAAAGGGGTGGTATCCTAAACCTTGTTATCCCTGTATCATGAGGAGGAGCAACAAAGTTGAGTTGCGCCCAGTATTCAACACAAATGATAAACTAGAGAGCCATACCACTAAGCCCATAGCAGAAAACAAAAAGCACTCCAAGAACGTGCCTATCCATTGTGTGTTCCGGCCACTCATTACTGCCAATACAACATGCCAAACATTACACCAGCAGTTCAGGTAGCATTATAGAATCTGCCAGGACACACCAATTTAAGGGACCGCTAGAGCATATGCAAAACAGCAGAGACTCTCCACATCTGGGACAATCCACACTCTCCCTGCGGTTTTATAAATGTAATTTATGCAGTTCTCTATACGCCCTATGTTTAACAAAGTGTTTTGACAAACGTTATCGGAGAAAGGGACACCAGTGGAACTTGTTCCAGAATAGCCTGCCAAATCTCATCTATTTTCGCTCTGTAGCCCACGCTCTCCTGCCAGGAAACTGCACGTCGCCCAAGGAGCTAGTCAGTAAAGATCTATAAAGGGTGGAAATGAGACCCTTCTTATCCTTAGTAGTAGCTAACTGATCCATAAGCGGAGTGTTGGCCTGGCAAGAGTTCTCAGCTTAGCTTGGGCTAAGAGGGCATGACGGAGCTGAAGGTATTGGAAGAAACTACAAGAGGGGATACCAAATTCACCCTGTAAATTTTGAAACAATTTCAGATAGTCATTTTCAAATAGCTGATAAAGGAACTGAGCACCCTTGGAGTACCAGCCAAAAAAAGCCTTGCAGTTTACCCAACTCATCCGAATGCCCCTCCCCCCAATTAGGTATTTGGATATAGTCTTACCTTTCCAGAGGTTTCTTTGGAGCAGGTTTATACATAGGCCTCTATAGGCAGCTTGGAATTGTTCAAAATAGCTTGCAATGTGCAACTGAACAACTGTTATAGGGACAGTTTATTTTTTAGTGCATTAACATACCATGTAGCAAGGTCACAGTGTGCAAATATAGTTTACAACTGATAGTAAAATCTGACAGCACCTTAACCGTATGTAGGCTATGTATATGTTATACTAGGGGATTTCTCTCCCCCTTTTTGTTGAACCCTTTTGGGGTGTTGTCTATGTGTTGTGAAACTCAAAAATATCTTAAAAAAAAGAAAAAAAAAAAAAGAAAAGAAAAGAAAAAAAAAAATCTGACAGTACAGTACAGACAGGTTAATTAACAAAACTCTCTAGCCCCCTCCTTAAAGTTAAATAAAATGTGAAAGCTAGGTAGGATTTTTAAATTAAATGGTAAGCTGCAATTTTTAATGTAATTTAATAGTTTTTGTTTTTTTAAAATTATGCTATCTGTACTAAAACATGTAACTATAAAAGTAGGTGTTACTTCAATTTGGCTGAAAATACTCTTTATGTTCCTTTTTCAGCGACATCCAATGATCAAATATTGATGGGCAACATAACCTACTACTAGAGATAATTAATCAGGCTTTATATCAATTATGCAGGCTAAGAGTAAGAAACATATGATGGCACTGTGACCACTTTCCTTTTCATGTTGGTAACCATCCAAATGTTCAAAGCACAATCAGAACATGTCTTGTAGTGAAATCTCCCCCCCACAGAATCCACTTTGTAGTTTGGGAATTCTAATTAAGGCATTAACGATAACTGTACCTTGGAAGGTTAATTTACAGACCGAAGGCTTAAATCAAAAAAGTACCAATAACTATAATCAAGAACTACTGCAACAACTTACCAGAGGGATACTAATAATATTTTCCTTATCAGAGTAATATCCATACAGAACCATTGTGCATGCTATCAGATCCCTCGTACTCTACACCAATACACACCCTTACTCTAAAGGGGGGGGGGGGGGGGAGGAAGTATCTCTTTCTCCCTATGCAAACCGTGTTCAAAGGCCTGCACACCTACTCTCTCCTGGCCAGAGACCATCTATATATGCCTCTCGTTGCCATAGGTTTAAACCACATGCTCTACATTTTGGTAACAGTTACAGAAACACTTTTTATGAAAGTCGTGCATTTAAGCCTGTTCCCATTTCACCTTAGTTAGGTCACCAAGCCAAAAGGCGCTTAAAGCACCCCATTGTCCTTCCAAAATAAGTGTTTGACGGGTTGTTCCAAGCTAACATGTTTGAACACGATGCAATAAAATGCACGATCACAATAAAATGCACGATCACAATAAAATGCATTTTCAACCAAATACATAGAACACACCAAACAGAAGCACTTTTGTAGCAGCATTACTGTCTCCCCCACTTCCCCTACCCCCTGGTTTCCTATTCACAATCCACATCCTAACCAGACCTCAAACAAGAACACACTAGTCTCTAGGGGCCACTTGTGTTCATCATTCTGGTGCACTACAAAAATTTAAAACATCTTTTTGGCCATAATGCTCTTCAATCACCATGAAGCAGTGACATTACATATGGCGCTTTTCCTATGATCTAAAATCAGAGTCTACCCAATTCCAGGAAACTAAAATGTTAGTCCCTCATAGGCTTTAACAATTTGTCTATGTCGAATCGTTCAGAGAAAAGAACATTATAATTAATACAATATATGAGCTTGTCAGCAAAAGCAATGAAAAAGCAGAAGTAATGAAGCAACTAACTGGAGAGAATGCAAAAAGGCAAGTCTAAAATTTCATGAACATCATAAAACACTGGGTTAATTTATTCAGAGAAAAGAAAAATGGCAAAAGCTGTGTTGTCAATAGCAGCCAACCTGAATTCATTTTTCCATAAAATGAACGGTAAAATTAAATTGGTTGTTAAAGGCATCAATTCCACCATGTGGTGATTTCACAAGGTGTGACAATTTAATTCCCAGAATGCCCGCAGTGTAGCACTACGGTGGTAAGTCACACAGTTATTCACACTCCAGAGTTTTCTGACATGTTCTAACTTGTACTCACCCCCGTCGCACACCAGTTGACTCAGTCTTTATGGAGTAGTAGAAGAAAGAAGACGTGTGGATTGCGCTGTTGGCGTTTGTCCATTATAACAATGCTTCTTCACATGATAGGTTTGCGAGTTCCTAGCCCAGAAAATCTATTCTGAACTTGACCAACTGCCTTCTTCTCCTGACTAAGCACCCTGAAACTTTTGGCTGTTTCCAAAATGAAAAAAAATGCCTTGAAAAAGGACAGATTTGATGACATTCCGGACATCCAGCACGCCACAACAAATATACTGCGCAGAGTTCCGGAAAAAGAATTCCAGTAATGTTTCTGGCAGTGGCACAGTCATCTAAAAAAGTAGGACTACTTTGAAGGTGAAAACAGCCACCAGTGTATAGGTAAGCAAATTAAAATGGTCACACCTTGTATTGTATTTTTCTTTTGCCCTAATCTTTGTTTTACAAACTGTATGATGGATACGGTTATAGGCGGTGGTGAAGTCCTTGTTCAGCATCCAGTCTAGAATGTTGGCTATGTCCGATCTCAAGGGGTGCCCAGTGCAGGTATATACTGTATCTTCAGTTACATTTTCATAAGCCATGTATGTACTCTGCAGGAAAAGTGTAATTAAAATAAATCAAAATAAAACTAAAAATGCCTTCCACCCCAATCAAATTTTAAAGTCAAGAACTGCTATAAGATTTGGTTTTAAAAAGGAGTGTGCCAATATCCATGAAAATGTGCTGAACACATTCATGGATATTAGCAATAATATAATTTATTTGGACGATACCATTATAGTGCATTAGATGTTACATCAGTCATGTGCACAGACTGACTACTAATGTACGTCACAGGACACAGAAAACCTCATATTAATGACTACTTGGGTTATGCGGAATGTACACTGGACCAAAAAAAAAAGCAGGAATCACTATCCAGACATAACCCCACCCAGCTCAACAAAACTACAGTTTTCTAGAATGCAATGAGGAACAGACAAGAGGGAAGGGAGCTGTGTCCTGTCATGTACAACAAAGAAAATGATACTACTAGTAAACCAAAAATCCTAATTTCTTAAGTTGTACATTACAGAACATAGAGGAATTCATATTCATTACTGCTTGGGAAGTTCAAAAGCACTTAACGTGAGGGGTGGGCAACACTGCAACAATGCCAAACACGCCCAAAACCCAGAACAGAAGACGAGGAACCTTCCTTCAAAGCCACCTGCAAGACATTTGCCCCAAAACTAGCATAAACAGGTTTACTCACTTACCTGGCAGAAAAATAAAAAGAAAGGACCAGAGAGCAACCCTTGCAAATGAACAGAAGTTTGATGCTGAATAGCCCAGGACGTACTGACACTTATGGTGGAATGGGCCTTGACTGGGAAAGGGGGAACCTTTTCCTTGATACAAAAGGCTTGAGAAATGAGCTGACTAATCCACCCAGAAGTAGTGGATTGAGAAACAACATGACACTTACAAAACACCCTCAGGCAGAAAAAACATGGAATCAGACGGTTGAAACAAAGCCATAGATTTCATATAAACTTAAACATCAACATTCAGAATGCTTGGGATTAGTACAAAAAGATGGTAACTTCATCCTAATTTCAGGTGGAACGAAGAACACACCTTGGGTAGGAAAGAGGACAAAGGCCTCAACATCACCTTGTCCTGGTGAAGAACCAGAAAGGGTTCCTTGCAGAAAGTGCGGCCCACGCCAAGACCCTGTAACATCATGGTAATGGCACCCAAAAAGACAACAAGGGAATCTCTTGGAGAGGTTCAAAAGGAGAAGACTGCAAAAAAAAAAAAAAAAAAAAAAAAAAAGGCAAGCAAGACCAAGAGTTATGGTCCAGGAAGAGACAAAGGGAAACCTGCACATGCGGAAGAATTCATATGATACTCTGTACAAAAGCTTTAAAGGAGTTAGGCACTATAGGTCTCTGAAATAGAACAGCCAAGGCTGAGATCTGTCCATTGATGGTATTTGAAGCCAAAAACATCGAGACACCAGATTGAAGAAAAGCAAAAATGCACTCCACAACATATTACCAGAGATGAAGCTTGCTAGCCTTGCACCAGGAAGTCTTTAATGTACAATGGTACATTTTCCTGGAGGTCAAATTTCTAGCCTCGAGGATAGTAGGGATTAAAGAGTCAGAAACACCCCTATCATTCAGTGCTTGTGCTTCAACAGCCAGGCTACCAAGGCCATTAAGCAGAAAGGAACATCGAACGCCACAAGGCATGGAAGAAGATGCAGTGGAGGGAAGGCTCAGATCGGGGAAACTGATCCCAAGGAGTCACCGGCACCTACTGCAAACACCTGAGGATCCCTGGTTTGGGACACAAACCTGTCCAGTTCGTTGCTGAATCTGGACGCCAAGAGAGCCACATCTGGCATCCCTCACTGCAGAGAAATTTCTGATCACCACAGACCGATGGGCCCTCTCTCTAAGATTCAGTTACTGACAGCTGGAAATGTGCATAGTGGAGAGAGACAGAACATGAAGTTCTGCTCAAGACCAGCTCAGGTCTTCTTCCTCAGGTTTTGTTCCTGAGCAGTGTCACTTCTTGTCCCTTAGTGTATGCCGCAGCGTGGCATTGTCTTACTGCATCCTGAAGGGGAGACCTCTAAGTTAGACAGATCAGTGTAGGAGAGCCAGCCAAATCATACCAAGTTACAGGAGGTTGATTGGCAATTTCTCCAGACCACCTCCCTAGCCCTCCAGGCTGGCACCCATCCTCAAAGTTCTTGAATTCACTGGAAGGAAGGATTTCATGGTATCCAGCATCTGTGTGAATATCAACCATTCCAGATCTGGTCTTGCAAGTCTGATGCATTGGCAGATCCAAGAACTCCTGCCATTTGTCCCATATCAATAGGAAATTGAGCTGAAAAACTCTGGAGTGACACTGGGCATATGGGGACTGCATCAAAAAGGTAGCTATCATATTCCTCAGCACCTTCACGTAGGTCCAAATTAAGGGACTTTTCCAATTACCTCAAGGATACCTCCTCGGATAAAAAGACAGGCTTTTCGCCTGCAGAAGCAAAACCGCTGTCTGTGCTGAAGACTAAGTCTACGCACTCCAGACATTGTGTGAAAACCAAGGCCGACGTCTAAAAGTTCAGCACCCAAATGTTTTCAGACCTGTACCGCCAACTGTACAATTGACAACAACCTGAGAAGCAGCATGTATGGGTAGATCACAATAGGGATGCCAATGAACTGCTGCAATGACCCTTCGGACAAGAGCCTTTTGTAGAAGGGGAAAGCAGCGCAACTCCAGCTTATAGCCTCTGGACACCACACTGCCTTCCTGCAAAGGCAGATAAACGTCCAGATAACCATTCTTCTTATGGAACAGGGACATAGGCTTTTGCTCAGGGCCCGAGGCTTGCTGCTTATGGAAGAAGCGCTTCTTGGATTCCAAAAGCATTACCAGTTTTCTACCCTGTCACCTTCACCCTATTCTTTATGGCTAAGAGCATGCTTTTACCCAGTCACATTCTGGGTGAAAGCATCTAAGGATGGTCCAAACAAGTGTTCAACGTTAAAGAGAAACCTTTTGATTGCTTCTTTCAAGCTCCTCTGACCAACACATGAGGAACACATTTCTACAGCAGGTAAAACGCATGATTTTTTTCAAATATATCAATAGTAAAAAAGGCTATTGCGAATGTACTATATTCTAAATTTTTTTTTCTTCAGTTTTACCAGCTGAAAAAGACAGGTTTGATAGTCTTGACAATAATCGCCAGGTTCAGATGTCTTTGGCCTGCGAGTCTTTGGGGAATTTAGCTCACTTATAACCAGCCGCTATTTCTAATTTTAAAGGACACCTTGCTGACTGGAATGGTAACCAACTGACTGGTGAATGTGGTACCAACTTCCAAAAAAGTGTATACCAGGAAACCAAACCAGTCAGCCTAACATCAATAATACTTACAGTATTTGAGCGAATAGTAAAACGGACACTATACAGAAATTGGTATTTGATAAAAGGTACCATAAGTGACAACCAGCATTGATTTATGAAGGATTGTTCTTGTCCAACCAATCTATTACTGTTTTATAAGGAAATAAGTGAGAAACTGGATGATGTAAGTCCAGCGGGTGTAGTTTATCTAAATTTTGCATTGATACTGTACCTCAAATGTTTAGAAAACAAGATCTGTTGAAGTTGATGAAATTGAATGTAAATAGATAGAAAACCAGTTACTTGAATGGGCCCAGAGAGTGGTGATAGAGAACTCATTCTTTGAAAGGCTTAAAGTTGTGAGTGGTGTGCACCAGGCTTCCGTCGGTGGGGGTCAATGCTGTTCGATTTGTTTAGTAATGATACAGAAGTTGGAATCAAGAGCTTAATTTCAGTGTTTGGCAAGGATAAATAATGCAGGGAAAACTTTGGCATAAGATATAGCACCATTACAAAAAAAGACTTTCACAAAATAGGGCAGCTACATGGCAGATGAGGTTCAATATTGAGAAATGTAAAGTTGTGCACTTGGGTGCCAAAAATCCACAGGCCAAATACACATAAGGAGGGGCTACCCTGGGAGAATCAGAGATGGAAAAAGGATATTGGGTTGCTTGTAGATTACAGGATTAGCAAAAGCAGGTAATGCCATGCCACAGTTAAAGCTAGCAGGGCCTAGATGGACTATGACCCCCAAGGGAGGATCACTGCCCTGGACCAGTAAGGCACCCTTTCAGCAAGGTCACCGGATACATTGCACCCTGGAGATTGATGCCAAAATGATCCAGTGCCAGCTGACAACATTACAGGCCCACTCTTGCATGTTGGAGCCAAGTACAGTTGCTTCTGGCCATAGTCAACTGATTCAGACTTCCAACCCCATCAGGGGTGCTCAGGAAAGGCCAGGAATTAAAGAACTAAGCCACTAATTGGAGATCTTCAGAGAGAAATGTGTTGGTACATCCGCCACCTAAAGACACTAGCTGAAAAGTGAGGCTTAGCTGGGAGAGGTTATGCCTGGATGGGGATTCCTGCCTTTTTTGGCCTACATCCATTCATCAGACGGTGGCAGCATAACCCAAGTAGTCAGGAACATGAGGTCCTCTGGGGTCTGTGAGGTACATTAGTAGTCAGTCTGTGCACAAGACTGGTGTAGCATCCAATGCACCATAATGGTATCATCCAAATAAATTATATTATTGCTAACATCCATGAATGTGGTCAGCGTTTAACTGCTAAGAACATATACCCATCTGCCATAAAAGCAGGTTTCATCCATAAACAAGTGTGTGTACATCTGGCATTGCATAATTTACTACTAGCCCACAGCAGTGTAAAGCACTGGCATGAAAAATTACATACCTGCAATATATTTAGTGCTCTGCGCATGTCCCCATTGGAGAGGGTCACCAAGGCCTTCATTCCATCTGGGCTAATTTGCACGCTATCAAAAAAAGGGATTGGAAATTATTTTGCATAAGAAGCAGAAGTCAGTGATTTGTTGGAAAAACAGGTTTGAAAACTGACTAACTTTTCCTGTTGGACTACATGCTCCAGTCTGGGAATCATCATCTCTGAACTTAAGGGACCAAAGCGGAACCGTGTGCACCTGGACTGCAGAGCAGGAATGACCTTAGACAGGTAATTACAAATCATACAGAAACGAGTGTTCTCAGTAAACTTCTCAATCACTGCAAAGAGATGAAAAACAAAGGGCACATTATAAAACATTTATATTTAAAAGATACTGAAAAAGCAATTCGCTTTACATAAGGAAATGTACCAGCCTCAGAAACTATAATGACACAGTTTTTGACAAACGGCCAACCCACAGTAAGTAGGCTAACCAATACATTACTTTACACTGAAAGGGCAAATACTTTTGTTAGACAATTAAAAAAAACCTCTAATCAACATGGAAGAAAAGCTTAGTCTACTGGGAAGCCTTACACTTGGATGTCTATAGGAAGTAATATTCATTACTACCTATAGTGGTTATACAAGCAAAACAATATAGAATATTGGCCTTTTTTCTATCATGTTCTTTAAATCGCGCCGCACAACATGTACAGTACTTTACAGGTACATGTTACACATAATAACCAGAGATTTGTGAAGGGAGAGTTAGCCCCGACATTGTAAAGTAGACTTAGCATTTTATTCCAAGGTGCACTTTAAAGGACAAAATTACAAGTGAATTTGTCCTTTAAGTACCGATTAAACATTACCTACAGAATCCAAAAATGTATCCAATCAGAATGCGTATGTTGTCACCAATACCATCAATTGTTACTCACAGCCAGGGAATTCAAGATCTTACAGAAACAGAGGTGAAGTTTCTCAGCATTGACAACACATCTTGGTAGAAAGAAATAATCTGAAGTATTTTTATGCTCCTAAAAGCCATGTTATTTTAATTTAAAGGACTAGCAAGCAGATTCAATTTAAGTATGTCAGTTCCCTCTGTATAAATTAAATCACCAGAATTTTTGTCTTGGAGGAAAGGCAGAACATATACAAAAGTTAAACTAGAATCCTAATCATTATGGTACATTACATAACAAACACTAAGCTTTAGTGTACATATGTAAAAACCCATGTTTAGCAGAACTCCCCCCACCTTTTTTTTTTTTTTTAAACATTTACTTCAGATGCTGCAAAGCATTTATTACAGCAAGTCTCCATAATAAAAAAAAAAAAAAAAAAAAAAAAAAAAAAAGGATAGATATGCCAACTGCATAAATTCAGCATCTGTAACAAAGACGAGACAGATTGTTATGTCTATCTGAAATTTTCACAAGATCTGGCAAATTTGTAGCATTTCCAGGCATATGGCAGTGGAATTGTTTGCCATTTTACCTCGTCTTAGAGCGTTTCTGCGCATCCTGAGTCATTGCATCTGCTTCATCCAAGATCACAAGCTTGAAGCCTTTTCTGTAATGGAGAGGGAGCTGTCACTTTAAGACACACAAGGCTGCTGCATCTGTACAACTGATACAATTATTTATCAAAAGAAAAAAAAAATAAATAAGTGGCATTTTGACATGCCTGTAAATTCCATATCTTGGAGTACAATACAGGACACAGGCAGAGTATTTATACACTGTAGGTTATAGGCATGCAACTTCAGGTGATTGGACACTGTCAAAACTTTGGAGGATATGTCCCCGGGCACCTCCCCCCACTAACCCAATCCCCAGTTTTGTAGCAAGCAACGCAGAGCATACCAAAGAATGGAAGGGGAGGTTGCCTGTGTCCTGCACTGTATTCCAAGATATGGGATCTACAGGCAAGTCAAAATTCCTCTTAGCTTAATCATACAGTACAGGACACAGGCAGAATATTTATACATTATGTGACATCCCCAAACAAAAAGGGTGGGCAACAACGGGGCAAACATAACTGTGGCAACTGTGTATCAAGACATCTGGGGCTAGAGCTACAGAATGCCTGGTTCTGACAACAGAGGTAGTTTGTTGTTGTATCTGGAGGCTAGGATGTCCACATCGAAAATCCCCCTATATTGGCATATAAATTGAAGACATTTGGATGAAAATCCAGGCTGAGGTAAATCCATTTTCCACTTGTCCACTTCTAGGACGTGGACTGCAGAGATCAATGGACAGTCAGTTTCTGTTAATGAGATTGTCTGGTTTGCTTTGTTCAAGTTAGCCACACTCCTGGTGCTCCCTTGTTGGTCGATGTTGGCCACTTCCACGACATTGGCTGGTTGCACCCTGACTGGCTGTCCAGTGCTACAGGGTCAGCTGGACTACTTTAAGCTCCAGGATGTTGATGGGGAAATTGTTTTGTTCCCAGTTACCACATGCTTTGGAATGTCAAGGTTTAAACACTCCTCTCCAGCCTGAGAGACTTGCATCTGCTGTTATAACCTTCCAATGATGATAGGGAAGGGATTAATTTTTCCACTGTTAGGGCTTGAGTGGTGATTTTCTAAGATAGAGAATAGCTTGCTTGACTGGACAGGAGCTGGCAGCATCTAGAATGGTCTTGTGGGCATTTTAATAGCTGGCAGGGAGAGGAGTCCTTCAGAAGGTGGTCATCTAGAAGGGTGCCCAGAACTCCTCCCAGCCCGACATGCTAGCCTCCATTGTGAGAATATTCCAAAAGATGTGGAGAAAGGACTTCCAACTCCATAGCCAGATTCCGGAGGCAACTCCATAGCCAGATTCCAGAGCCATCAAGCAGGGGAACAGAGCTCTGAGGAAGAGGCAAGTCCTCGAAACGCGTCAGCCTATTGGATGTCTACACTCCCTATTGCGGACTGTTATTTAGCGCGGTGTTGACCCAGCTGTTCTTTATGATGTGCTTTGACTTTATTGTCATTTGTGAGTACAACACCTACTTTATTTTTTATTAAGCATTTTTTATGGTAAAGCACTAGGCCTGTGTGCCCTCTGTTTTTTTTTTCCTCATCAAGCAGGGGAAACCTGGTCCTTGGAGCCAGACAGATCAATCTGTTCAAGGAATGGACTTACTTGTTCCACGGATTACAAAACATTGTCTTGTAGGGGTCTGGAGTGAAACTGGAAAAATGGTAATGGCTTGATGCATGCTACCTCCAGAACTCTCATGCATTATTTTAGTCCGGCGATTCCTGGACTGAAGAGAGCAGAAAGTGGTCTTTCAGCATGAATATGAAGTTTCTCCTGGGCTGTAAAAAAATCGAAGGCTTCTTTAGCTGGCTTTTTCTGTGCCTAGGATTGGACCTAGCTATTTCAAGTGACAAATCCATTCAAGCACCGATTTCTGAATGTTTAGGAACCATCAGAAGCTCTACAAGGTCTAGATTGTCAGGGCAATGTAGTATATAGTAGTATGGGGCAACAAAAATAGAAGGTTGCAAACGGTTTCCGCATCAGTAGTGTGGGCTAGGGGCACCTTTGTGTCTAGGACCAGATATATTTTAACAGTGTGCCAATGGAGCAACACAGCTCAGGGTACAAGGTAAGGCCTCAGTTACTCAAAAAAACAAAACAAAAAAACACTGGTGACAGGTGTAGGGTCAGATGACCACAGGTGACCAGGATAGTTGGATAGCAGTAATGGACTGAAGATCTGAGTTGCATGTTTTTCTTTGCAAAGCAAGAGTAGAAGAGGGAAGATGCTTACTCCACACTAAATGATAGGAAAGAAAGCAGAGTGCACAAGACCACCCAGCAGATGTCAGCGCTAGTTCCTTCAGTGCCAAAACCTTCCATGGTGAAATCAATGAAGCAGAGGATTTTTAAGGCGTCCAGTGGTACAGCTCTGAGGTAGATCACAGTGGTCAGCCTGTCTTTAGAGACAGGGAAAGTGCAGGGGCAATGCCAAAAGTTCTGGAACTGGAAAGCACTCTGTAGCTAACCTGTTACCAGAACAGGCTCTAGAAAGTGCCTAATGCAGAACCTAATGCTTGAAGATCACCAACAGGCTAGCTACGCAACTTTCAGTCTGGCAGGGTCCAGGTATAGCATGCCAAAGCTAGGCTGAAGAAAGGTCAGTCCAGATAGTTGCTATTGTAGAGATCAGCTCAAGCTGTGATATTCAAAAGTGGGAAAAGTGCTAGTAAAACTTGGTAAGACTTTGTTCAAGAAGGTCTGGAAAAAAACATATATATATATAAAAAAAAAAAATCCACCCTCTCAGGGACCCCAGAAAAAAAACAAAAACAAAACCAAAACAGCCTCAGTAAGGCTGGTAGTAGGAGGAGTTATTCTGGGCAGACTTTTTTTTGCCAATGTCCAATCCTGCTTTATGCAGCAGTATATCCCACATTATATGGCTTCCTGTAAAATATATCTTAAATCCTTTATGCAAACACCAACAATGAAATTCTCTATGACCTTTGGTCTTTTGTATGTTGAAACAAAAAAAAAAAAAACAAAAAAAACAAACCTGCTGATTATGCAAGAAATATCATGAGCTCTCTGCCTGTGCACCAAGAGAGGTTATACAGATAAGGGGCATTGCGGAGAAGTGCTCCTCCTAAAAAACAACAGTGCAGCTCCTGGTATTGTTTTGCCATTTCAGCTAGCGATTAGCTTTTTTTTTTTGCAAAAGTGATACACTATTGGAAAGGCACCCCCACTCCTCACTGTTTGATCAGCTGCCTTAGAGGGCAGTGTAGGGATCAGGGGTCTGATCTCTCCATGAAGGAATGCCTGTCACTGCCTGACACTATCACAGGGGGTCCGATACACCCCTTATGATAGCAAAAAAGATCATGAAAAAAGATTAAAAAGTGTAAAAAAAAAAATATTAAAATAAAAAGAAATTGAACATTTAAATAAAAGTTAATAAAAAAAAGAAGAATTTTAAAAGCACCTTTGTCGTCCCCCCCCCCATGCTCACACACACGTTGGTCCAGCACACATACTGTATGTAAACAGTGATTGCACTGCACATGTGAGGTATTGCCATGAAAATCAAAGCGAAAGCAGTAATTCTAGCTCCACAGCTCACATTTAACTCTAAATTGATCATTAGTAAAGGCTTGGTTAAAGCCTTGCCTATGGGCTTTTAGTGTAGTTTGTTACAAATTCACAGGCATGAGCAATTTTAAATCTTGACGTTTGGTAACTATTTACTTGACACAACCCAATCCTTTACATTTTACCAAAAATTTCAGTATTCTATTGTGTGCATTAAGTGTATTTTTCCCTGAAAATATGCATTTGATAAAATGACTGTGCAAATGCAACATATAAATAAAAAAATAAATAAAAAAACACACACAACAGCCCCTATTTTATTATCCAGGGCCTCTGCGCTTTAAGAATTGATATGTTTAAGGTTCCAAGTAATTTTCAAGCAGAAGAATGTGTATTTTAATATGTATATGAAAATGTCAAAATTGACATGAATTGCATGCTGGTAACCCTGTAACATCAAAAATAAAAATAAAAAAAAACAAAATACAAAAACCACAAAAAACGTGTCATTTTACACTTACTTAAATATGGTTCTAGTGCTTGCAAAACTTAATATGGGACCTCTCACAATATCTATACCACGATCATCTGATGCATTCAACTTAAAAAAAACAAACAAAAAAAAAATTAAAAATAATGCATATGGGAAAAACATAACACACATTACATCCATCTGCAAGGAAAAGCAGCAAGAAGCTTAGCAAAACTGCCTAGTATGTATGTGTATTGTTAAACACCTATCACAAACAACTTTACCTTCAGCTACTTGTGACACAACTTGCTGTAAAATTTATTTCACAGCTAAACATACACATAATGAAAATAAAATAAATAAATACACTACACTGCCAAAAGTACTGGGATGCCTGCCTTTACAAGCATATGAACTTTACTGCCACAAGGTGTGTCTATGGGAATGTTTGACCATTCTTCTAGAAGCGCATTTGTGAGGTCAAGCACTGATGTCGGATGAGAAGGCCTGGCTCACAGTTTCCGCTCAAAGGTATTCTATTGGGTTGAGGTGAGGACTCTGTGCAGGCCAGTCAAGCTCCTCCACCCCAAACTCGCTCATCCATGTCTTTATGGACCTTGCTGTGTGCACTGGTGCGCAGTCATGTTGGAACAGGAAGGGGCCATCCCCAAACTGTTTACACAAAGTTGGGAGCATGAAATTGTCCAAAATGTCTTGGTATGCCGACGCCTTAAGAGTTCCCTTTACTGGAAATAAAGGGCCAAGCCCAACCTTGAAAAACAACCCCCCACCATAATCCCCCCTCCACCAAACTTCACACTTGGCACAATGCAGTCAGGCAAATACCGTTCTCCTGACAACCGCCAAACACATCCATCCCAGTTGCTTCCACTTTGTTATAATACCACTAACAGCTGACTGTGGAATATTTAGTAGCATAGCAAGGAAATTTCACGGACGGACTTATTGCACAGGTGGCAACCTACCACAGTACCACGCTTGAATTCACTGAGCTCCAGAGAGCGACCCATTCTTTCACAAATGTTCGTAGAAGCAATCTGCATGCCTAGGTACTTGATCTTATACAAATGTGGCCATGAAGGCGATTGGAACACCTGAATCCAATGATTTAGAAGGGTATCTCAATACTTTTGGCAATATAGTGTATGATCACAGTCTAATCTGTCTCTGACAAGACTGGGGAAAAATCTTACCCTTTATTTCAATAGTCATTTGACAGGGCTGCAGAATACACCACCTTATTTACACATAACTATTAGTAGGAAAAACCTACTTAATCTAAGTATGGTACAATAAGGAAACTATGAAAAATCAAATATGGAGAAACTTGCATAAAAATAACTTTTCTAGAAGCTTGTTTAAGAGCAGCGAGATTAACAAGCTTTACAAAGCATTTTCAGTAAGTATCTAGCTCCAGTTTGTAAAAGTTGAACACACATCCTAATGGGAACACGGATTGCCACTTTAAACAAGCTGCTAGCAGGCTTCAACACTACTTGAAGCTTGCTAGCTTGTTTAAAGTGGCAATCAGTGTTCCCATTAAGCCCCTTTCAAAAGAAAGTTCATTCTATCAGATTTTTCAGGTGAACCTAATCGGACCCTCCATTCACCCCTATGAACCGGTGGGTGTAAACAGACAAGTCCAGTTACTCCTGCCTACCTCTAATCCAAATCAGGTCCTCTTGAAAAAAAAAAAAAAAAAACCCCACAACAGTAGAAGGGGATCCATCCCCCTCCATCTAGACAGATCGTATCGGAGGGTTCTGTCCAAGCAAACACTCGGTTCTGACTAAGCAAACAAGGACCGGTCAATCCCCTGTTCTGCTCAGTAGGGGGATCAGCGGATAGATTCCATGCTGATCTAAATGGGGTCCCACAGTGTGAAAGAATCCTTAGGAAAATTACAAACTGGAGCTGAATGTTTTAAAGGTTTAGAGAAAGCTGCACAATGCTGACTGAAAGCTTGCTGTTCACACTGCTCTTATTCAAGCTAAAGCCCTTGCGAAACAGGCCTAAAGAAGTCAAAAAAATAATAACCTCACTTTCATAAATTTAAAGAATACCTCCAAAACCATAGAGTTAAACTCCTTTTCTTTGTAAAGCTGTTTTGCACAGGCTAGAATAGTGGAAGTTTTGCCTGTCCCAGGTGGTCCATAGAATAACAGATGAGGTAGTTTTGTCTTCACTGATGAACCTCTGAACTAGTATTAAGAAAAACAAAAAAACACAAAAAAATTGGAATACAGAACTCAGTAAGCAGGTTGTATCTACAAGATACATATTTTTTCACAGTGGAATTCCAGGTATGGATATTTCATACATAGTGTCATTGGTCTACCTTGGACAAGTGTAACTAGGCATATATCATACCTGAAAGCAGGAAACACTGAAGTAAACACTAGGTTTCTCCAATGACTGATGTCATCCCGCCTCTCTAATCTTGCTATCAAAGAATGTCTAGCATTCTGAAAATGCAAAGCATTCTCTGAACTATGCCTGTGCCTAATGGCCGACCTCCTGTGTTCAGAATGCAGCAGGGCAGCTCCTCTGCACTACACCCAGAAGCAGAGATCAAAGGAACAGTGATTTCTGGCTTCCAGGGAGATCAACCAGGTATGGTACATGGTGGTCTAAGCCAGACAAATGTAACGATGTATACAATATGGAAGCCTGTTTTTTAACCAATAAGAGCGCCACAAGACCATTTGCGTATTCTGCAATGTAGTGACTGAAATGTCACATCTCAGATCAAATTTGATACCTGAAAGTTCCAGCCTTCTATGACTAGGTAGCCCATGTTTTTTTTTTTACAACACAAAGCATGCAAAGGTTCCCAGCCATAGGTAAAATAGAGGGCTTGTAGGCCATCAGGGAGAGAGGCAGCCCATCACACATAGCAGCTGGGTTCCTATACCTGCACAGTATTGTAGAAACACTAGTTGCCAATATGGTTAAGCACTGCCTGCTTTTGTGCAGCTTGAAATGTTAAAGAGGTAGTCAAAAATGATTTGATATCAGAATTAAATTACTTAAGTTTTAAAATACTAGTTTGACATAAACAGATTTACAATTACGTTACATTTTCACCAAAAAGCACAAATAAAAATAGTGACAAAATATGAACAAACTTGATCCAAGAGAAAAAAAAATTACATTATAAAGACTGTTCTATGTACCGTATTTGCCGGCGTATAAGACGACCCCCTACTTTTCCTGTTAAAATATAGGGATTGAGCTATACTCGCCGTATAAGACTACCCCTCTTCCAACGCACACCAAATAAAAATGAAAAAACATCAGATTTGATTTCAATATGGTATGGTATTTCAGTATGGTATTCCAATGATGGGGTGCTATTCCTCCCACTGACACCAATGATGGGGCACGATTCCTCGCTCTGATACCAATCATGAGGCACTATTCCTCCCACTGACACCAATGATGGGGCATGATTCCTCCCACTGATACCAATCATGAGGCACTATTCCTCCCACTGACACCAATGATGGGGCACTACTCCTCCCACTGACACTAATGATGGGCACTATTCATCCACTGACACCAATGATGGGGCACTATTCCTCCCACTGACACCAATGATGGGGCACTATTCCTCCCACTGACACCAATGATGGGGCACTATTCCTCCCACTGACACCAATGATGGGGCACTATTTCATCCACTGATACCAATGATGGGGCACTAATTCTCCCACTGACACCAATGATGGGGCACTATTCCTCCCACTGATACCAATGATGGGGCACTATTCCTCCCACTGATACCAATGATGGGGCGCTATTCCTCCCACTGATACCAATGATGGGACACTATTCCTCCCACTGATACCAATGATGGGGCACTATTCCTCCCACTGACACCAATGATGGGGCACTATTCCTCCCACTGATACCAATGATGGGACACTATTCCTCCCACTGACGCCAATGATGGGGCACTATTCCTCCCACTGATACCAATGATGAGGCACTACTCCTCCCACTGACACTAATGATGGGGCACTATTTCATCCACTGACACCAATGATGGGGCACTATTCCTCACACTGATACCAATGATGGGGCACTATTCCTCCCACTGATATCAATGATGGGACACTATTCCTCCCACTGACACCAATGATGGTGCACCATCATTAGTGTCAGTGTGTGAGGAATAGTGTCCCATCATTAGTGTCAGTGGGAGGAATAGTGCCCCATCATTAGTCAGTGGGAGGAATAGTGCCCCATCATTAGTCATGGGAGGAATAGTGCCCCATCATTGGTGTCAGTGGGAAGAATCGTGCCCCATCATTGGTGTCAGTCGGAGGAATAGTGTCCCATCATTAGTGTCAGTGGGAGGAGTAGTGCCTCATCATTAGTGTCAGTGGGAGGAATAGTGCCCCATCATTGGTGTCAGTGGGAGGAATAGCGTCCCATCATTGGTGTCAGTGGGAGGAATAGCGTCCCATCATTGGTGTCAGTGGGAGGAATAGTGTCCCATCATTGGTGTCAGTGGGAGGAATAGCGTCCCATCATTGGTGTCAGTGGGAGGAATAGCGCCCCATCATTGGTGTCAGTGGGAGGAATAGTGCCCCATCATTGGTGTCAGTGGGAGGAATAGTGCCCCATCATTGGTGTCAGTGGGAGGAATAGTGCCCCATCATTAGTGTCAGTGGGAGGAATAGTGTCCCATCATTAGTGTCAGTGGGAGGAATAGTGCTCCATCATTAGTGTCAGTGGGAGGAATAGCACCCCATCATTGGTGTCAGTGGGAGGAATAGCGCCCCATCATTGGTATCAGTGGGAGGAATAGCGCCCCATCATTGGGGAGGAGGAATAGTGCCCCATGGTTGGTGTCAGTGGGGGAGGAATAGTGCCCCATGGTTGGTGTCAGTGGGGAGGAGGAATAGTGCCCCATCGTTGGTGTCAGTGGGGGAGGAATAGTGCCCCATCATTGGTATCAGTGGGGAGAAAAGTGCCCAATCATTGGTGTCAGTGGGGGGAGGAATAGTGCCCCATCGTTGGTGTCAGTGGGGAGGAGGAATAGTGCCCCATCGTTGGTGTCAGTGGGGGAGGAACAGTGCCTCATCGTTGGTGTCAGTGTGGAGGAGGAATAGTGCCCCATCATTGGTGTCAGTGGGGGAGGAACAGTGCCTCATCGTTGGTGTCAGTGTGGAGGAGGAATAGTGCCCCATCGTTGGTGTCAGTGGGGGAGGAACAGTGCCTCATCGTTGGTGTCAGTGTGGAGGAGGAATAGTGCCCCATCGTTGGTGTCAGTGGGGGAGGAACAGTGCCTCATCGTTGGTGTCAGTGTGGAGGAGGAATAGTGCCCCATCGTTGGTGTCAGTGGGGGAGGAACAGTGCCTCATCGTTGGTGTCAGTGTGGAGGAGGAATAGTGCCCCATCGTTAGTGTCAGTGGGGGAGAGGAGGAGCGGCTGCTCCTTCTTTCAGTTCGGCCGCTTGATTTTCGCGGGGCCATTCGGCTTCGCCTCCTCGCCGGTGATTGGTCGCCTGTGTGCCTTTCCAGTGCTGGCGCCCAATCACCGGTGAGAAGGCGGAGCCGAGCAGGCGGCGGGACCATCGAGCGGCCGAACTGAAAGAAGGAGCAGCCGCGCTTCCTGGACCGGATCGTCGTGGGACCGGGGACCGGAGCCAGGTGAGGTACAGCAGCCCCTCTGCCCACCCCTGTACTTGGTGTCCGTTGGAGGAGGAGGGGGGGTGGCACCGCCCCTCGAAAAAGTGCCGCCCTGACACCGGCTCGCCGTATACCGGCGTATAAGACGACCCCCGACTTTTCAAAAGATTTTCACGGGTTGAAAAGTCGTCTTATACGCGGGCAAATACGGTAATTAGTAAAATACCTCCAGACCCTTGATGTGTGTAAAATATTTAAAACTAGCCCAACTTACTTGTGTTTAAAATATCTTGATGTGAGATCAAATCGTCAAGAGACTGTGGCCGGTACTTTTCAACCCTGTATAGAAATGTGAAGTCAGAGGTGTATAAACGGTTTAAATACTCAAAACTCATGGAGGCAACTTTTTCATCAAAAACTGGAACACCATCTCAAGTACGTCTGATATCGATATTTATGTAAGTGTACTTCCACAGATAATCAAAATAATGGTAACGGTACAAGCCTAGCTGATAAATGAAGCAGCAGCACATTGGGAAGTTCATACAGGAGCTTACTCCTCTTATGTAAGCTACCACTGCTAGGTTGACAGCACTGCCCGGCGCAAAAATCCTGGCTGCCTCACAGTGCTTCCTCTCCCCCTTCTCGGTCATGCTGGCACGTAAGAAATTATGGTTATTTGGAAACTTCAAATAATTATTTTACAGGTATGGTGGGAGCTTTACTTCAGCACCTGATACAGCATGTATTGAACTAGAAGAATTGGATGGGATAAATCAACAAGGTACACATTTTTAGCACTGTGCTAAGTGCAAAACTTGTTCCTGTTGGCTAGTTTAATAGATTTTGCATATTGAATGCATTATTAAGTGTTCTTGCATGGCAAGTTTACTTACTGTTATCTCACATATATATTCTTATTATTATAGCCACATTTACCACCCTAACTCCTCCCACAGTTTTTACACTACATAGACAGTAATATGCCGAAACGTGCGGATTGTTCCCGATTGGTGTGCTATTACTTTGTTGAACGTTTTTGCCGAATGGTTCACGAAATATCAGCGTTTTTTTGTGGTGAAATTGGTCCCATAGGAATGAATGGTGGAATGTTCAAAACTAGAGAGGGAGCTGACAAAAGCTAGAGTGTGAGCTGAAAAATCAGGACATGATTTCTAAACCGCCATCACTCCCTCATTTTCAAGCCCACCTACACAAATCTTATATCAAAACGTTCAGCTATCCCTGCTGCCACTAAAAATGTCCACAGCTAAGCCATAGTCCTGATCAGGGGCTGAATGACCATTTGGAAACTTGGGAACTGCCCGACGGCCCAGGGTCAGTCGGGGGCCCCACGAGATGCCCCTGGTACCTTTTTCATAGGCTTCTTTGAGTTTGGGCAAGGACACAGGGGCCCCATGAGTTGTCAGTCCGCCCCTGGTCCTGATAGTTTTCACAATATGACCATTTGTTTGCAACTCACGCCGCCCATTGACATTCATTTAAACTCTAGCCACCTCAAATTTAAAGGGCAATTTCTAAACTGCGATTGGCCTTCATTTTTAATATTTCAGAGACATACTATGTGCTATATAATTAAAAGTTGAAATACATTTCTCACTATCAAGCTTGCCATGTGCACTTTTTAAATTTGATCAATCAATTGCTTAGTGTAATGTTTACTATCTTTACTCACTCCAAACACTCCACACAGTTACTCTGCTGCCCACTCCATAAAGTTACTCTGCCCAGTCCAACCTTTTCACAGTTACTCCAGCCACTCCAACCACACAACAGTTACTCCAGCCACTCCACCCAGTTACTCCGCCCACTCCAGTTGTAGACTACTGGTGGAGGCAAGAACACTTCACACAATTTCCCCAGAAATTGTAGCTTTTCTAGTTCCTTTTGCTGGTACAAATAATTGCTTTGGTGGAGACAAATAGAGCCAATGCCTAAGGCCTCATTCACATGATGTGTACCATACCGTATGCCTGTTCAGGGTCATGATTACCCACATAAGATACATAGTTATTCCGTGCATCTCTGTGCAGGCAGTCCCATCCATGTTATATTGGGTAACAGCTGCTGTGTCCCAATGGACATAAATGGTACTGCCTGCACAGGGATGCATGGACACCTGTGCATCCCCGTGCAGGTAAACATGACCCTGCATGGACAAACTCTATTGTACAACCTGTTTGAGCCAGGCCTAAGGCGTGGTTCACACCTATGCAGGTTGTAGCTCATGTGTTTTTCTGGTGTGTGTTGCATTTTTTGTTTTTGTAAGGCATCTTGTTTTGCAGCAGGAACCATCAAAAACGCAAGCACTGCATTTTTAATGCGTTTCCATTGAAGTTTATGGAACCAAAAAACGCAAACTGTTGCAGGGAAAAAAAAAAAAAAAAAAAACCCTTCACCCTTTCCAAAAAAAAACAAAACAAAAAAAACACACCGGTAAAAAAGCACAGATGTGAATATGACCCATAAGAAACAATGGAAAATGGACTGTAGTGCATTTCTGAAAAAAGCATAGGTGTCAACCAGACCTTAGATGTGATTGTGGAGTATAAAGCCTGCTCTCCCCTGGAGCAGCACGCAAAATAAGACAACATGTTTATTTATAAGGAGGCAAAAGTGTGCCAAGGGCTGGAAGCAATGCAATCCTTATGGGATAATGTGGGAAGAGGGGAGAACAGACCTGATTAGTAACACAGACTAGCAGTGAAGTACAGTGAGGAACAGAAGTATTTGAACACCCTGCGATTTTGCAAGTTCTCCCACTTAGAAATCATGGAGGGGTCTGAAATTCACATTGTAGGTGCATTCCCATCTCAGAGACAGAATTAAAAAAAAAAATGCAGGAAATCACATTGTATGATTTTTAAAGAATTTATTTGTCTTGCACTGCTGAACATGTGTATTTCAACACCTGAGAAACAGCAAGAATTCTGGCTCTCAAAGATCTGTTACTGTGCCTTTAAAAAGTCCAACTCTACTCCACTCATTCTAACTTAGTAGCCACTGTCTGAGCTCTTTAAAGACACCTGTCCACCCCACAGTCAGTCAGACGCCAACTACTACCATGGGCAAGACCAAAGAGCTGTCAAAAGACACCAGAGACAAAATTGTGAACCTCTACAAGGCTGGAAAGGGCTACGGGGCAATTGCCAAGCAGCTTGGTGAAAATAGATCAACTGTTGGAGCAATTGTTAGAAAATGGAAGAGGCTAAAGATGACTGTCAGTCTCCCTCGGACTGGGGCTCCATGCAAGATCTCACCTCGTGGGGCATCACTGATGATAAGAAGGGTGAGGAATCAGCCCAGAACTACGAGGAGCTGGTCAATGACATGAAGAGAGCTGGGACCACAGTTTCAAAGGTCACTGTCGGTAGAACACTACGCCGTCATGGTTTCAAATCATGCATTGCACGGAAGGTTCCCCTGCTCAAGTCATCACATGTCCAGGCCCGTCTGAAGTTTGCCATGACCATCTGGATGATCCAGAGGAGGCATGGGAGAAAGTCATATGTGGTCAGATGAGACCAAAGTAGAACTTTTTGGTCTAAACTTCACTCGTTGTGTTTGGAGGAAAAAGAAGGATGATTTTCATCCCAAGAACACCATCCCTGCTGTGAAGCATGGGGGTGGTAACATCATGCTTTGGAGGTGCTTTTCTGCGAAGGGGACAGGATGACTGCACTGTATTAAGGAGAGGATGAATGGGGCCATTTATTGTGAGATTTTGAGCAACAACCTCCTTCCCTCAGTCAGAGCATTGAAGATGGGTGGTGGCTGGGTCTTCCAACATGACAACGACCTGAAGCACACAGCCAGGATAACCAAGGAGTGGCTCCGTAAGAAATATATCAAGGTTCTGGAGTGGCCTGGCCAGTCTCCAGACCTAAATACAATTGAACATCTTTGGAGGGAGCTGAAACTCCGTGTTCCTCAGCGACAGCCCCGAAACCTGACAGATCTAGAGGAGATCTGTGTGGAGGAGTGGGCCAAAATCCCTGTTGCAGTGTGTGCAAACCTGGTCAAGAACTACAGGAAACGTTTGACCTCTGTAATTGCAAACAAAGGCATCTGTACCAAATATTAACACTGATTTTCTCAGGTGTTCAAATACTTATGTTCAGCAGTGCAAGACAAATAAATTCTGTAAAAATCATACACTGTGATTTCCTGAATTTTTTTTTTTAAATTCTGTCTCTCAAAGTGGGAATGTACCTACAATGTGAATTTCAGACCCCTCCATGATTTCTAAGTGGGAGAACTTGCAAAATCGCAGGGTGTTCAAATTCTTCTGTTCCTCACTGTATACAGAAGTAATGGTGTGAGTTATAATACTACATTAAAATTACAAAACGTAGTGCTGGAATAGAGACCCATATATACACACCAATATACAGTTGCAAGAAAAAGTATGTGAACCCCTTGGGATTACGTGGAGTTTTGCATGAATTGGGCATAAAATGTGCTCTGAACATCATCTAAGTCACAACAACAGAAGAACACAGTCTGTTGAACATAATACTACACAAACATTAGATGTTGCCATGGTTTAATTGCACATAACATGTAAACATTCACAGTGCAGGGAGGAAAAAGTATGTGAGGCCCTAGCTTAATGACTTCTCCCAGAGCTAATATGGAGCCAGGAGTGAGCCAACCTTGACTCCAATCAGTGTGATGATATTGGATGTGTTGCTGACAGCTGTCCTGCCCTTAAAAAACACACACCTGTTTTGGGTTTACTGGTTTCAAGAAGCACTGTCTGATGTGAACCATGCCTCGCAGAAAAGAGCTCTCAGAAGACCTACGATCAAGAATTGTTGACTTGCATGAAGCTGGAAAGGGTTACAAAAGTATCTCCAAAAGCTTTGATGTTCATGTGTCCATGGTAAGACAGACTGTCTACAAATGGAGAAAGTTTAGCACTGTTGCTACTCTCTCTAGGTGTGGTCGTCCTGTAAAAATGACTGCAAGAGCACAGCGCAGAATGCTGCATGAGGTACAGAAGAATCCCAGAATGTCAGCTAAAGACCTACAGAAATCTCTGGCACATGCTAACATTTTTGTTGACACATCTACAATAAGGAAAACATTAAACAAGAATGGAGTACATGGGACAACACCACGGAGGAAGCCATTGCTGTCCAAAAAGAATATTGCAGCACGTTTGAAGTTTGCAAAAGAGCACCTGGATGTTCCACAGCACTACTGGCAAAATATACTGTGGACAGATGAAACCAAGATTGAGTTATTTGGGAAGAACACACAACACTATGTGTGGAGAAAAAAAAGGCACAGCACACCAACATCAAAACCTCATCCCCACTGTAAAACATGGCGGAGGGAGCATCATGGTTTGGGGCTGTTTTGCTGCCTCAGGGCCTGGACGGATTGTTGTCATTGATGGGAAAATGAATTCCAGAGTTTATCAAGACATTTTGCAGGAAAACGTACAACCATCTGTCCGCCAACTGAAGCTCCGCAGAGGATGGGTGATGCAACAGGACAATGACCCAAAGCATACAAGTCATTCAACAAAACAATGGCTGCAACAGCACAGAATACGCCTTCTGGAGTGGCCCAGTCAGAGTCCTGACTTCAACCCGATTGAAATGCTGTGGCATTACCTTAAGAGAGCGATTCACACCAGACATCCCAAGAATATTGCTACACTGAAACAGTTTTGTGAAGAGGAGTGGTCCAAAATGACTCCAGATCGTTGTGCAGGTCTGATCTGCAACTACAGGAAACGTTTGGTTGAAGTTATTGCTGCCAAAGGAGGGTCAACCAGTTATTAAGTCCAAAGGTTCACATACTTTTTCCTCCCTGCACTGTGAATGTTTACATGTTATGTGCAATTAAACCATGGCAACATCTAATGTTTGTGTAGTATTATGTTCAGCAGACTGTGTTCTTCTGTTGTTGTGACTTAGATGACGTTCAGAGCACATTTTATGCCCAATTCATGCAAAACTCCACGTAATCCCAAGGGGTTCACATACTTTTTCTTGCAACTGTATAGTTGAAAAGCTAAAAGAGATATAGGGTGTAGGTGATCTGTCAGTGGAGAAGCATGGGTGGGAATGAGGCAGGTGATAAGGAAACTGATTATGAATTTTGCCTTTAGTTACTCCAAACTCCTCTCCTGCACATATTGCTTGTCACCATACCCTCTGTACTCCACTCCTGCTCAGACTGCTGACTGTTATACTGCTCTATTCTTCCAATAAACAAAGCCTTCCATCACATCCTCTACATTCCTTATTTGCTCATACTGCCTGCCTTCATACCAACCACAATTCACTCCTGCATACTGCCTAGTCATACCCTCCGGACCCTCTCTCCTATACATACTGCTGACTATTAAGCTCTCCACACTCTCCTGCATATACTGCCCGCCGTCATATGCAACACACTTCCCTTCCAAACATAGTCAAGGGAATTAAAAAAAAAATCCATACTGATGCTTTTTTGGCACTATGACCCTTTAAAATGGCCTGTTCCAGATTTAAAAATACCTGCTGCCCATTTTGGTAACTTTATCAATACCTGTGGCAATTTCAGGTAGTTCTTAATAGTGCCACTTTTATTAGCCACACATGCACTTCATGTCTCAGATATACAACAAGTACATGGATCTGTCCTCCGCACAGACAATTGCTATGTCTTTGGTGTGAAACTACAACGCCCCCCCCCCCCCAAAGACTTCGGTGGGAAATCGCACACCCCTAGACTTTGGTGGGAAACTGAGCCCCACAGCGCTGGTGGTAGTTCATTGAGCCTTCCTGTAAGTATCTGCTTGCTCCTACAGGCTGTACACCGACAGGTCAGAGCTAGACCTGCATGGCACCAGAAATCTGATTGCTAGTGCAGTGTTTTAGAGGCTCCAGAAACAACAAATGCACATTATTTTACCTGCAAAAAAGATGCATTTATTATTTTTTGTTAAAAGGTGAACTTATCCTTTAAGCCCCTTTCAGAAGGGGTGGATCCATTAACGTGACCTGCCTGCTCAATAGGGTATCTTTCAGCTAATCCCTGCTGAGCAGGCGGATTGCAGGCCTCTGTCTGCTCTGAAGAGTGAACACAGAACACCATCAATGTGATCTTCAGATGGAAATAGACTGCCTGTCCGTTTCCACTAGATTGTCATCCCCTGGATGGATGGGGAACGGATCCCCACCAGTCTGTTTTTGGTGTATGGGATCGGATGCCGCTGGATAGTCCACTGACACCTGCCGGTCGATAGAACTCTATGGATGGACTGATCTACGGATGGACTGATCGGATCCACCTTAAAACCGGACAGGCAAACCATCAGTCCGCTCATGTGAAAGGGGACTAAGGCAAAACTTTCTTTTAGTTTTGGACAGAGTGTAGAAGGGATTTGAACCCGTTTTATTGCCGCCTGTGCTCCCAATGGGGAGATTCACCCTACTTGTCCTGTTTACTGTTATTGAATTTGGGTTGACACCAGAACACTAAGAGAGGGAAGATCTTCCAATGGGGACACTAGTTCCGGTGACACAGCGGGATTCCCTCACTGTGGAGGGATCTCTTCTCACTTCCTGTTTTGGCTATGGGACAGGATGTGAAGGGAAATTACTCCAACAGGACACAGATGGCAAAAAAACAAACCCATAACCCTATCCACAATGGTAACAGAAATTGTGCCTATAGTTACACTTCAATCACTGTCACCATATCAGTGCGGTACAGCTTGCCTTCTTCAGAACTTTATATAGCCACTAGGGGACACGTCTCACAGCCCTCCATTCATCCTGGGGTACCAGGAATCCTCCTCCAGCCATCATTCCTCCTCCAGCCTGACGCATGTTAGCACACACTAAGCCGATTCCACATGCTCAGTCTTTCTCCCCGTCCATTCCAACCCAGATACCATGCATTCCTCCTACCATGGCAAGTTCCTGCTCTGTGCGGGCTGAGACTTGGCCTCCGACACCATGATAGCGGCAGCCCCTGACACACTCACTGTCCTGTCCCCGCTACACAGTACACTGTCACATCCAGGCTCCGGCGCGCTGGGTCAGGAGGCGAGACTTCTGTTTCGCGCCTTGCTAGGAACTCGGCGCTTCTCGCGAGATCACAGTCTCCTCAGCGATCAGTTGTGGGGGTCATTTCCTCTTTCCTCTGCTGGGCTGTTACTTCCGCTGTACTCGGGTACCTATTACCGTCATGGTCCAGTCAGTCGTTTATCGCTGACGATGTTTGTGTTGTATTCCCCAGCCAAACGGAACTGCTGAAAAATGTTTTGTTTTCCAAAACCGTTTGTTGTATTGCTGTGTGAGGTACACCGGCTTCCTATTCTTCTTTCATCATAACGCCCAGTTGGGTTGGTTTGTCCCTCCTCAATGCTCTGATGTATCGCTGGTTTGATGTATGGAACTCTATAGATAACGTGCACTCAATAGCAACGTCTGCTCTACAGCCTTTTATTTTTCATAAGCATGTTAAAATCTGGATTTTTAGATGTAAAATTACTTAACCTCCCTGGCGGTATGATCATGTCAGGAATTTTGTGCTGAAAGCGGTACCATTTTTTTGCATGGAAATATGTAGTTTTTAATTGTAGGCTGTAATTTTTAGGAATAACTCACTGAAATCTGTCCGAACAAGAGTCTAGTAAACATTCCGGATATGATAAAACTTGAAACACAAAATCATAAATTATAATTTAATTAATAATCATAAAAAATAATAATATATATAATAATAATTTAATTCAATAATATAATCAAACCAAAAAACACTGAAATTTGAAATACAGAGGCAAATTCGCACATCGCTGAGCAAAGTCGCAAAATCGTTTTCAGTGTCTGATGACGAATTTCCCCACAAATCATCACTCAATTCTGCAAGTGGTTCTGATTTACTATCGCTGTTCTAAAACCGCTTTTGATGTAAAGGGACGCTTTTTGGCCGCCATGGACTTTTCTAAGTTTCCAGGCAGAAAGAACAGTCAAAATGCAGGCAGGGCACAGGACAAGCAGTAGGGACAAAATGTATGTGAAATGCAGTGAAAAAGCAATGACAGCAAAAATGTCATTTTTTAAAAATTTCAAATTTCCCGCCGGTTCCGCCACCCGAACGTTCCGACGTCACGGGGACCGGAACACGGAAGTCAGATGCCGGCATCCGCCGGAGGAGATGGACGGGGACGCTGCAGGGGACACATCGTGGGAGCGAAGGACAAGGTAAGTGCTGCAGGGACCCCCAGAGAACGCTGCATGGTAAGCCCGAGTGTAGCTCGGGGTTACCGTTCTTGGTATAGAAATTCTACCCCGAGCTACACTCGGGAAAACCGCTAAGGAGGTTAAAACCCTGAATGTTCGAGGCCCTGTACAATGAAAAGATGGTAGTTGCGGATTTTTATGTTGCACAATATTTGCACAAGTGTTTATCAAATCAATGCTTTTAAAAAAAGATGCTCTAAAATGAATTTTAGTGCATGGAAACATTACTGAATCACATTTGTTTTTGTACAAAATAAAAGATGAAGTAGTGTAGAGCAAATGGATACCAAATGCGTCCAGACCAAATGCCGCGTGCGTTCCGTTAAATGGCAAAGAATTATGGTACCCAAAATTATCAAATAGGCAACCCTTTAACCTCCTCGGCGGTATGATTATTTCTGATTTTTTGTGCTGAAATCGGTACCATTTTTTTGCATGGAAATATGTAGTTTTTTATTGTAGGCTGTAATTTTTAGGAATAACTCACTGAAATCTGTCCGAACAAGAGTCTAGTAAACATCCCGGGTAGGATAAAATTTAAAACACGAAATCATAAATTATAATTTAATAATCATAAAAAATAAATGATAAATTTAATTCAATATTATAATCAAACCAAAAACACTGAAATTTGAAATACAGAGGCAAATTCGCACATCACTGAGCAAAGTCGCAAAATTGTTTTCAGTGTCTGATGACGAATTTCCCCACGAATCATCACTCAATTCTGCAAGTGGTTCTGATTTAGTATCGCTGTTCTCTAGCTGGTCTAAAATCGCTTTTGACGTAAAGGGTCGCTTTTTGGACGCCATGGACTTTTCTAAGTTTCCAGGCAGAAAGAACAGTCAAAATGCAGGCAGGGCACAGGACAAAGCACTAGGGACAAAATTTATGTGAAATGCATTGAAACAGCAATGTTTTACTAGGTAGTAATCATTTAAAAAAAAATGATTTTTTTAAAAATTTCAAATTTGCCGCCGGTTCCGGCACCCGTACGTCCCGATGTCACAGGGACCGGAACACGGAAGCCGGATGCCGGCATCGGCCGGAGGAGATGGCCAGGGACGCTGCAGGGGACACATTGTGGGAGCGAAAAACAAGGTAAGTGCTGCAGGGACTCCCTGAGCAACGCCGCATGGTAAGCCCGAGTGTACAGTGGGGATCGAAAGTTTGGGCACCCCAGCTAAAAAATTGTATTAATGTGCATAAAGAAGCCAAGCAAAGATGGAAAAATCTCCAAAAGGCATCAAATTACAGATTAGACATTCCTATAATATGTCAACAAAAGTTAGATTTTATTTCCATCATTTACACTTTCAAAATAACAGAAAACAAAAAAATGGCGTCTGCAAAAGTTTGGGCACCCTGCAGAATTTATAGCATGCACTGCCCCCTTTGCAAAGCTGAGACCTGCCAGTGTCATGGATTGTTCTCAATCATCGTCTGGGAAGACCAGATGATGTCAATCTCAAAGGTTTTAAATGCCCAGACTCATCTGACCTTGCCCCAACAATCAGCACCATGGGTTCTTCTAAGCAGTTGTCTAGGAAACTGAAAATAGTTGACGCTCACAAAGCTGGAGAAGGCTATAAGAAGATAGCAAAGCGTTTTCAGATGTCAATATCCTCTGTTCGGAATGTAATTAAGAAATGACAGTCATCAGGAACAGTGGAAGTTAAAGCAAGATCTGGAAGACCAAGAAAAATATCAGACAGAACAGCTCGGAGCATTGTGAGAAAAACAATTCAAAACCCACGTTTGACTGCACGATCCCTCCAGAAAGATCTGGCAGACACTGAAGTTGTGGTACACTATTCCACTATAAAGAGATACTTGTACAAATATGGTCTTCATGGAAGAGTCATCAGAAGAAAACCTCTTCTACGTCCTCACCACAAAAATCATCGTTTGAACTTTGCAAATGAACATATAGACAAGCCTGATGCATTTTGGAAACAAGTTTTGTGCACCGATGAGGTTAAAATTGAACTTTTTTGGCCGGAATGAGCAAAGGTACGTTTGGAGAAGAAGGGGCACAGAATTTATTGAAAAGAACCTCTGTCCAACTGTTAAGCATGGGGTTGGATCAATCATGCTTTGGGGTTGTGTTGCAGCCAGTGGCACAGGGAACATCTCACGAGTAGAAGGAAAAATGGATTCAATAAAATTTCAGCAAATATTGGATGGTAACTTGATGCCATCTGTGAAAAAGCTGAAGTTAAAGAGAGGATGGCTTCTACAAATGGATAATGATCCTAAACACACCTCGAAATCCATGGGGGATTACATCAAGAGGCGTAAACTGAAGGTTTTGCCATGGCCTTCACAATCTCCTGTCCTCAACATAATTGAAAATCTATGGATAGACCTTAAAAGAGCAGTGCGTGACAGACAGCCCAGAAATCTCAAAGAACTGGAAGACTTTTGTAAGGAAGAATGGGCAAAGATACCTCAAACAAGAATTGAAAGACTCTTGGCTGGCTACAAAAAGCGTTTACAAGCTGTGATACTTGCCAAAGGGGGCAGTACAAGATATTAACTCTGCAGGGTGCCCAAACTTTTGCAGACGCCATTTTTTTGTTTTCGGTTATTTTGAAAGTGTAAATGATGGAAATAAAATCTAACTTTTGTTGACATATTATAAGAATGTCTAATCTGTAATTTGATGCCTTTGGAGATATTTCCATCTTTCCTTGGCTTCTTTATGCACATTAATACAAATTTTTAGCTGGGGTGCCCAAACTTTCGATCCCCACTGTAGCTCGGGGTTACCGCTCTTGGTACTCAAATTTTACCCCGAGCTACACTCGGGAATACCACCAGGGAGGTTAAAATGCTTTTACAGCTCATCAGTTTAGAATAAACCATAAACGATGGCCCCAAGATCTGCTCTCTGATGTTTGTGACCACATATTACATGTATGGCGCAATTTGCGTTTACATACACATGCGTATCCTGTGTGTGCGCAGGGTGACAGTTAATTTTATTTAGTTTTTTTACTTTTATTTATTGCTTTCACACGGTGGCTAGCAAGCCTCGTATGAAGTAGCATTGGGCAGGTGACATGTACTCTTTATGGAGACATTAGATCCCTAAATGCTGTTGTCACATCTCTACCTTAAACTGTCTCACTGCTGTGCACTGACTTTCTGCAAAACTCAGGATAATTAGTCTGTTTGTAGTGATTGATTCTCACCTCCTTTTAGCCTCTCTGATCTTTGTGAGAATCAATCATCTTTTATGACTTTGGCCTGTGTCTGTTCTGGCTTTGACCAATCCCCCCCAATTCATGTGTTCCTTGTCAGTTCCTAATTGGGGTGGAGAAGGATTCCTCATTTTATCATCTCCCTATAAATTTGGACCAGCTTATGGGGAAAGTTACAGACAATGGCATTTTCCTGCATGAATGCATTTTCTGCTGGACTGCGAAACAGCAGTTTAACTAAAGCAGCAAGAAGATACAAGAACTCTACTGCACTCTGGATGGATCCTGGGAAACATCTACAAGTCTGATTACCATGCCATCTACCTTTTAATATGACCTCTCTACTCCTCCTTTTGATATTTCTATCCTCTGTACTCAAAATCTCCTTTCTTTACTCCTCTGCTCCACCCCAAAGCTTCTACATATCACCCTCACTTCAGCCATCTCCCTACTACTGCTTTCATTACCTTTTTGCTAATACATAACTCACCTGCTGGCCCAAACAC